ATGATTAATTATTCATATTTCCTCATGAGCTGATTCGTTACAAAGTATATGACATGTATGGTTTATTTAAACCGCAAAGGTTAAATATAAATTAAAATTATTACAACAGATGTGAAGGGAGAGGAGAATTTATACATGCGTCAGGTTTTTCGATGAAAAATATTTCCGCAAAGGATACACCTGTGTATCCTCGCTCATGAGTCCTCAGGAAGCCTCCTCGCTGTGCAACTAGAGAATTGAGATGTCCTTCAAGATGGCTGTACTCAATCGGTTTCCGGGTCATAGGATGAAGGAAACGAGGAGGGATATTGAGAAGCAACCCTAGTATGCCTAGTAAGAGCTTGATTAGCTGGTTCAGGTGTGTCTAATTGGAGTTGGAGCTAAACTCTGGAGGACAGTGTCCCTCCAGGACCGAGTTTGGGCATCCCTGCCATAGCTATCTCAAACCCTCTAGTGCAGGGGTTCTCATCCACTTTCCTGGAGAGTTTAGCTCCAACCTCAATCTGTAACTTTCTAGTGATCCTGAAGACCTTGATTAGCTTGTTTAGGTGTGTCCGATTTGGGTTGGAGCTAAACTCCACAGGAAAGTGTACCTCGAGGGCCAAAGTTGAGTACCACTGCTCTAGTTCCACCAACAGCTCAAAATGCATTTTTTGCATGACCTGATGGTACATGCACAGTAGGCACAGTGCCACCTAGTGGTCAGAACATATGAAAAACTTTTACTTGTAAATTTTGAACTGTTTGGCCAAAAGTCACAAGACAAGATAAAATTAACCTTAACCTACAGTATTTTCAGAATGATTGCAAGCCATTTGACTGCCATGTATCACATGTATGTGACACGTATGTGAGCTGTATTATAAATATCTGCTGAAATTTTAACTGAGTTACTAGGGCATGTACCTGTTTACTTAAAATTGATACGATCAGAGAGAAAATAACCATGCAACTGTCTGCTACAGTATTGTATCAGACAGCGCATTATAGACTTCCCAAGACACAATTTAATTTATTCTTTGTTATAGGAGAAGAAGAATTGTAGCTATAAACTTGTAAAATCATTTAAACCAACATGTTAGACTATAAGCTCCTGAAAGAGGTGCTTCCAGAAGTTGTAGATCCTCTTCTTAATATTAATTCATATGTCCCAAAATCGTTCAAACTGGCTGCATTTGATACTATCGACAACAACATTCTTTTAAATGGGCTCGAAAATCATGTTGACATTAGAATTGCATTGACAGTTCAAATTGTACTTATCTGACCATAATCAATTTGTAGCAGTAATTGAATCAACATCATATTGATCACAAGTTCAGTATGGCTAAGAATTTGCTTTTATTTACTATTATGCTGAAGATACTTAGTTCTATATTTCTTCACGGCTTGACAAAACATACCAGTTCACTAAAACAGAATGTATAGCTGACATATGTTCTCAAAGTCACTTGCAGAACAGTTAATTCATGCAGGTTAGATTATTGTAATGCTATACTGGGTGGCTGCCCTGTAGGCTTAATAAACACCAGCTGGTTCAAAACACAGCAGTTAAAGAGTTCTTACTAGAACCAGGAAGTATGATCACATTAACCCAATTTTGTCAACACTGCTCTGGCTCCCTTTTAAACTATGAAACTTGATGCTTATCTGAAGCCCTTGTTGGATTACAAATTTAAGAATCTGTTTAAAATATGCTGATACTATATTCTGACATAGCATCACATGAAAAACTAAGGTGAAGTACATTGTATTTAGCATTTAAGGTAAATTACATCAGACAAATGATTATCTTAAAGTGTAGCAAGAGGTTCCTGTCTGTTCCGGTTTCTCTTATTGTTAGTCAAATTAACCAAATTACTGAGAAAGTCACATTTTGTTTGTAATGGCTCTTGGTGCCTCCGCCCCAGACTTTGAGTAGTTATGCTGACTGGATTAGCACCTATGCATTTGAATGACACTGTTATGCTGATGAGATCAGGGCTGGAGAAATTCCGGTAACGGGCTGATTCCTGTATTGCATTTGCATGCTTTGTTTAGATTGTCGCCACCTCTACTGAATGAATCCCGCCCCCTTAAAATGTATATAAACTCTACTGTGCTGAGCTATAGTCAGACTTGGATGACTGCAGCGCACAGCGAGTCCTCAATAAAGAGTGACTTCTGTATGAAAGATATCCCAACGTCTCCTGGTTTCTGCTTCGACAAGGAAAAAGTTTCCTACACCCTTAATGGTTTAGCTCCTCAGTACCTGAGCAAGCTCGTCACATTATAGTCCTTCATGTCCACAGTTGAAAATACCTATAATACAAATGAACTGCAGGAATTAGATACTTTTCCTAGTGTTGTCCAGGAGGCAGACACAATTCAGCAGTATGAATCTAGATTAAACACTCATCTCTTTAACATGTCGTTTCTAAAATTCCAATAATTCAAATCTCAATCACATTTCAATAATGTACTATCTCGCTCTCTCTCTCTTTGCGTGTCGTACGCCTTCACACTAGAGTTTACAGTACGTCAAATACAGGTGCACTGCGCATCCTTTTAGATGAAATGAAAAATAGCGGAGATCATAGATGAAACTCTGAAGTGCTCAGTCAGTGTGTTCGGTGAGTGAAAATATATCTGTGCTAAACATATACTTGGCCTCCAACTCACACACTGGTGAGTAAAATCAAATAATTTAGTCATTGGCTAATATTAGACATCATTTAGTCGCCCAGAGTGAAGATTTAGTCGCATATGCGAGTGAGTTTGGGTTCCTTGCCACTGATGCCTTTTGGTTTGCTTCAAGGGCACACTTAATATTGTTGACTTGACTACACAGATACTACTGGCTAAGAACTGAACTGAGCTGGATGATTACATCACTGTTTCCCTCAGAGATGCTTTATAGATGAACTAAACCCATTCCATAATTGCACTTTACAGTAAACTGAACTGAATCAACAATGAACTGACTTCAACTAAATAATGACTTTTTACTATTGTGTTTAGTAAACGACTATTATCTTTATTTAGAAAACACAAAACAAGAACAAACATTAAACAACAAAACTGTTACAGTACAAGTATAACCAGTTATTTTCAGCAGTGCCTAAACTGAGCTGGGTAGGTGAGTTACAGTCTTTCAGATGGCACACATGACAGATCTCCAGTGTGGAATATTAACATGAGTATTTCAGGTGATCCCTGAGTAACGCAACCTCCTCTACTGCCAGTACATTGGTCCAAGATTTGTGTGCATTTAATAACTGACCTCTAACATTTGAACATAGAAAAAAATGCTTATCCTTACCTAAACCACATCAAATCAGTTTCAAGTTGCTGTGTTTGTACTTGACGAGTGGAGGGAAATGCACAGGCAACTACCACTCTGACTTTACCATTCTTCAGGTTTCAAAGGCCCAATGAGACTTTGAGCAGCTCTGCCATTTGTTCAGTCATAGCACCGTCCTCATCTGAACAGTGAAAAAGAATTATAGAGCCTTTAATATTATAGTGAAAAGCCAGATACATAACAACAACTGATAATATAGTAAAACCACCATAATTAAAGTTTCTATTTTAATTCATTAAATTCATTGGATTATCCAAAAAATATTTCAAATATTTTTCATTGAAATTACAGTAAAATAAACTATACAGAACTGCAATAAGATTTTGGTTATATGACCCACTACTACTAGAAAGGGAAGTTATTTTGAGGTTCATATTCTAAATTGTGACTAGGGATGCAGCGATTAACCGGTTTCGCGATTAACCGCGCTTTAAAATGTCACTGTTAATTAATCGTAAAGGTTCCGCTAAACCGAGTGTTTCTGTTACACGGAACGGAACTGTTGCAGCTTGCGCAAAATGAAAAAAGTTACACTAGCAGTGCAACGGCTTAATTTATGCATTAGATGAACTGTGACAGAGGGACCAAACAGCGAAGCTTTATTTCCACCAGAGAAATGCCTGTCGATAGCGTGGGACCATTTTGGGTACACCAAGAATGACCAGGGTGTCATTTAAATATTGCTGTAAAAAACTGCTGCTAAAGAGTGAATACATAAGGGATAATGCACGGCTGGCTGTACATTGAACGAAGGCAAGAACCACCTGACGCAAAGCTACAGCTCGTTAGCTCTGCATTCTGCCCGCTTCAGATCAGAAAGAGATGAAATAGTGTGGTAA